ATTGTGCTTTTACTATTACATTTAATATATAATAGATGTATATATAGTAATATGTGTGCATATGGAATATATGCATATGTAAAATTTCATCTTTAGTATAATTATATATGCAGAAAATACGCATGGTATATATAGTGTGCTCAAAGGTATCTTTTGCTTCTAGCTTAGTCACTATTGGTTTTAACTCACTTGTTTTAAAATCTAGATTTCATGTTATAGTCTTTTTCAATTGCCCAGTGATTCTTAGCTGTCATTTCATGTTTTAGAGTAATACTCTAAATTCAGGCTGTGCACTGTCTGGCAGGATCATGGCAGCTGCACCCAGGCTTTTCTGATGAGTCGGGAGTGGCCGTCTTATTACAGTGGTCAAAGTCAACACCTTCTGACCTTCTCTCAGAGTCTGCTTCTCCTAAAAGGACATCACTGATCTCACACCTAGAGATATAAATCAGATTCCCAGCAGCCCCAGGGGCTCTCCACTTTCATCTGTCATCCTTTCCTCAACCTCTCTGTTGCTAGTCGTAGAACTTCTGTTTTAGCTCATGGCTCATATCATCAGCCCAAAGACAGTTTAGGTTCACTGAAGAGCAACTGTCACCATCTTAGAGTGGAAAAGAATTACATGGCTATTACACATGAGCCAAGAGTTTAACTGCACCCCCTAAAACTGTGCAGACCGTCTTTTTGCTTTGAAACTACACAATATTTCTGGTTTTTGGAGGACTCTAACGCTTGTGTTCCTTGGATCACTCCCTGATTTGGAAATGCATATTTCCTAGTTCTTGTTTACAAACACACTTTAGCTCTTAGCTTTTATGTAATATCTATTTTGCTTTACAGAATCAGTGATGTGCTGTAATTTCTCATTCCTTACAATGTTTCTCTCTCTCTCTCCCTCTCTCTCTCTCTCTCTCTCTCTCTCTCTCTCTCGTGTGTGTGTGTGTGTGTGTGTGTGTGTGTGTGTGAGANGAGAGAGAGAGAGAGAGAGAGAGAGAGAGAGAGAGAGAGAGAGAGAGTTACTATTATTCTTCTTGGCTTTATAGAGTGAGGTCTCATTAATTCTCTCACTGTAACTGTGGCAGGATTTAAAAGAAGGTAAGTGATAAATGTTTTTATCCAGACTATTGTTTCAACAGAAAAGCTTAGTCTCTGTGACACTATTTATTAAAACTAGGTCTATTTAGTTTTTCCATGTCTACCATAAAATAGAGAGAAACATCTTTGCACTTCTCTTTATGAGGGTGTAGCTATCCGACATCATTCTCAGATCAATATGCATTTATTAAATCTTAGAGTTTTGATGATAAATATTGAAATTAGCCTTTCTTTAATAATAGACAGCTATACATTACTGTTCACTAAAATACTGACTCTCACAGAATGCTAATTGGCAAATTCTTTCAGTATGTTTCATTTAACTGCTGCAGGAGGGGCGATGAAACAAACAGGCAGAGAGAGGCAAAGCACCAGATTGCACCCCAACTACATTTAATTCTTTTTTATTAATAAAATTTACTTATTCTTTGTGTTTTTCACATCATGTATCTTGATTCCATCCATTCTGTCTCTTCGCATCCATGCTCCATCCCTGCACACCCTCCGCAATAAAACAAAATTTTAAAAAAATGAAGAAAACAAAATGATAAAAAAAATTTTAAAAATGGGAGGAATTAAAAATCTCATCATTGAAGCTGCAGTGTGACCCAACAAGTCACACCATATACTCCTTGGTCCATACATCTGTACTTGTAAGTGCTCATTGCAAAGAGTCATTGGCTTGGTTTGAAGTTCCTGGTTTCCATTACATGTCTGATGCTGGCGGCTTTGGGTTTGCAGATCAGATCCCTTCACGTACTCCAGCAGACCATAGATGGGGTGGATGTTGGGGCAGGCTAAGTCATAACCCTGGGTCTGGGCCTGGGCAACTGTAAGGTTGGTCCTTCAGATGGTAAATGAGCACAGTTGGCCCATACTCACGATTTTGGGAGTGGCTCACCCACAACTCTGCTAACAGGGTTGGATCCGTTGTGCTGCCCTGGTGGGGTGCAGAGCCTGCTCTCCCGAGTGTTGTTGGTAGAGATCAGGGCCAGCTCTCCCACTCTCCCAACCACAGGGCCAGTTCTTCCACTTCTTTCAGGTGTGGGTTCACATTTCTTACAGCTGCTGTCTTGTTTGTCCTCAAGATCATTCATAGACTTTAACTTGGGTGGAAACTTTGCAGAACTTTATTAGTATTCGTTTTATAACTTCACAGGAAAACTCAAATGTATTGGCTTTCACTTCATAGCTACCAATTAGAGAATTTCGCATTGTAATTTTGCCCTTTCGCAGCATCCTTTTTTCCTCCGTTTGAGAGGAATACACCTTAAGGATGATTTTAATGGTGAATTTTACTAGAAATAACCTGTGTTATCTCTTTTGCAAATCATTATTGATAAAAAGAAAAATACTTCATAAATATTTATGTTGGTAAGATCCTTGAACATTTCATAAATATGCAAATGTGAAAACAATCCCAGAGTCACTAAAATATGATAATTTATGTATATATTAACTACCCTATATGAATGATTAGTTCTGCTATCAAACAAATGTGGCATGTTTTCATTTTATGCTTCCTAATAATTAATGACAGTGTTGACTTCTATAAACCTGAAAAATAACTTTCAAGTGTTTTAAATAACTGACTTTTTTTTATTAATATACTACCTTTAAGTTCTAATTGCTATTCACTTGTGTGTATATGTTCACATTGTTTGTGCATGAGTGTGCACATTGTGTACAGGTGCACACAAGTGTTTGTACACGTAGAGAGGAGAAGTAGGTGATTTTGTCAACTAGACTGTGTCTGCCTCTCTAGGACTGGGGTTACATGTACACTTACCACATGAAGCTCTTTTATATTTCTTCTGAATTGAACTTAGGTCATCATACTTGCAAGGCAAGGATGGACTGAGCTGTTTCCTAGCCTCCACCCTTTCAAAATGTATCATTTATACATTTAAGTACCTTACATTTCGAGTCTTGCCTTGCCTTCCTTGCCTTTCTTACCATTCCATTCCCCTCCCTCCCTCCCTCCCTCCCTCCCTCCCTCCCTCCCTCCCTCCCCTCCCTCCCTCCCTCTTTCCTTTCTTCCTTCCTTCTTCCCTTCCTTCACTTGTTTGCTTACTTGTTTGTTTGCTTTTTGGTTATTTGAGGCAGCTCCTCACTATTGATAGCCTGGGTTCTTGAATACACTTTGTAGTCAAGCTGGTCTTGAACTTGCAGTTGTCCTCCTGCCTCAGCCTTCTTAGTACTGGGATTACAGGTGTGCATCTCAATGCCTTGCTCTTTTGGATCATTTCTCATAGGAACAGACAAACCTCCTCACTCTGTTGCAGCTCGTTCTTGCAGTGTGACTAGGAAAACAGTAAGTCTTTAGCTCTTCAAGGGTAGTGTCTTTATAAATTCAGACATCTGTATAGTATTAAAGTGAATGCTTTGGAGGTATCTGGAAAGTAATTAGAGTTCACAATCCTTCTAGAATTTTTGGGATTTCCCATAATATTTATGTGTTTCTTCTGTATTAAATTTCATGGCATTTCTATTTTAATAACTTCACCAAAGAATTCAATTTAGTTTTTATAGGAACTGCTACATTTAGCACTTGTATTTATTCATGTCATGTTCTAATTAGAATAATGTGTGTAACTGCCACAAGCTTGTTTGGGTGAAAACATAATCGATTTCAAGAGTGGTGGAAATATAAAGAAAGGGGATGAGGAGATTTGAGTATGTAGTCTGCCACTGTAATCATCTGCTGCATTTACTGAAAGTACATGGAGTTTTGCCTGGGCCCATGAGTCCATTGTGCAGAGATCTTCAGGCAGATCTGTCAATGGAAGTTTCAATGGAAGTTTTCAATGGGATCACTTGGTTCCACGGCAATTCAGTCCCAAATAAACACACAGAAGTTTATATTAATTATAAACTGTTTGACCTACCACCCAGGCTCATTAATAACTAGCTCTTACAACTTAAATTAGCCCTTGATTCTTATCTATGTTTAATTATTTGGCTTGGTTCCTTTTCTCAGTAAGGCATTCTCATCTTACTTACTTTTTGCCTAGCTTGCAACTCTGCTTTTCCTCTTCTTGAATTCTCCTAGTCTGATCATCCTGCCTGTACTTCCTGCTTGGCTACTGGCTAATCAATGTTTTTTTTAAACCAATATGAGTGACAAATCTTACAGTGAACATGAACATTATCCCAAAGAGGAGATCTGCTGCTGTGCCAGGACTCTGAGCATCTTTTAAGAGTGATAAAGAGCTGACAGAAGTAGAACTCTTGGTTTTGCATAAACAAGGATACTCTCATTCTTATGCAAATCTTACATAGATTTAGGTTAATGGATAATTTAAAATTTCCAATTAAAACAGGCTAGACAAAATCATTTTATTTAAATTATGTCACATGCTACTATCATTTATATAGTCTCACGAAGTCTAAGAATTTGAAAGGAATGTTTCCCGTGTGCTCACATGCAGTGTGCAATCGCCTGTGTGTGCCTTTTGTCTGCTTAACTGTTGTAAGTGGGATTGCAGCAGCTGAATGGAAATTTCTGCAGATTCAAATTGTGCTTATATCACAAATATATTGCTTACAAAATGGTGTGGGAGAAGGGATATGAAAAAGGGATACTCTGTTCCTGGAGATTTACTATTCTTTTTGGAATTTGTCTTTATTTCCTCCCTGGTCTGGTCTTTACTGAGATATAGGATTTCTTTAGTGTCCTTAGTCCACTTGGTCCAGATCATCCATAGAAACAAAGGGAAGGGAAACCCAGAGGGTAGAAACCCACCCTGCCGATGTTCTCCTTAGTTAAGTGGCATTAGTAGCATTTTAATACATATTTGTTAGAATGATTAACTGATGTACATATAAACACCTAGAGCTGTATCTTGCACATGGTAAACACTGTGTCTGCTGCCTTATTAAAAGTGTTCTTATAATTATTACAGAATGTGCCTTCCCTGTACTCACTGAGGCTCTGCTACTAGATCTGTTCTTGACAGACCAGGCCTGGAGAATGGACAGAGCACATCCTTTGGAGTCAAAGCTGACTGCGAATCTGGACATCAGCTCTTGTGCTTATGTGCTCTTTGTGGAGCTATTGTAATTCTCTGTACTTAAAGGTCTTAGTCTGGAAAAAAAGTCATTTAATAAATACCCAAGTATCAACTGAGTTTTATGAAGATTGTATATGGTGGTGAGGAATACACAAGTGATCAATATGCTTGTTTCTCTCTTTTAGTTCCTCACACCTATTAGACTCAACATTACTTCAGGCTTTTCTCTATGTGACTAATTATCCCAATTTTCCCTCTTCATTTCTTTTTTGTTTTTCTCCTTCTTCTCTCTCTCTCTCTCTCTCTCTCTCTCTCTCTCTCTCTCTCTCTCCCCCTCTCTTTCTCTTTCTCCCCTTTTTTCTCTTTCCCAGTTGGAGTCTAGACATCACTTCTCAGCATTTGATTTGCAAACAATCAAATACATAACAAACACCTTAAAACACACAGTTGTGATGAAATCCTCCATTGTGATCATTATGAAATCTGAGCTTCTATCTATAGAGAATAAACATCCAGAACCATTTCATTTTGTTCTTGCCTGATCTTCATAGATGCAAAATTAGAGCACGACTTTAGTTATTCATTTCTGCTTTGATTGTTCCATTCATTTTTTATGATTTTTGGGGAATCATTTAGGAGAGCTAATTCACTTGTACCCAAATGAGATTTTTGTTGCTGTTAAACCACTAACAACCTTCATATGAGTGACATGTCTTAGTGTATGTTTTCCCTTGTGAAAGTGCCTAGAATTCTTCAGATTATCTAAATGATTTTGTGCTTATTATTAAATAATATAAAAGATAAGATAAAAGGGAATTTAGGAAAAATTGGTACAATTAATAGAATTTTATGTATAAGTTTCAGCTATCAACATGTTTAAACCAGATACGTCTACATTTTTTAACTCCTGGAAACAGTCTTCTTGATATCCATGTTATGTGAATCTAATAATATCATGTATATAGATGTCCCCAGTTTTTCATATTTTGGCCTCAAATGTTGTCTTATTTCACATGTGGAAGGAGAGCCCAGCTTTGCCTTGCTTACAGAACATTTACTTGTTTAAGGCCTCTTCATAAAATTTTTAAATGCAAAATAAAAATATGATGCAAAAGTGAATCTATATAGACTAAGAAAGTAAAACTTTAAAATTAAGTGACTTTCATATCATACAAATAGTTAAAAAAACCTAGGAAAGTAAGTTGCTACATCAAATAATTGTCTCACAACTTTCTCTTGCATGCGGTTTAATGACCTCTATATAAGACAAATTGCTCTCCCATAGCCATTATACAGATTCCAGAGAGACAACCTAAGTTTTCTCTAGTATGATGATTGAAACTTGTTTGTTAATAGCTAGAATGTATTCATGTGAGGTTTTACTATGAGATATATTTATAGTACTGCTTTTGGTTTTATGTATGTGCTGAATTGTTTTATGTCAGTTGGACACAAACTAAAGTCATCTGAGAGGAGGGAACCTCAATTAAGAAAATGCCTCCCACAGTGTTGGAGGGATAGCTCAAAAGTGAAGAGCACTGGCTGCTCTTCCATAGGTCCTAAGTTCAATTCCCAGCACCCATCTGGCAGCACACAACTGTCTATAACTGTCTGTACTCCCATGGGATCCGATTCACTCTTCTAGTGTGCCAATTATATGCAGACAAGACACACAAATGAATGAATATTTAAAGAAAATGCCTGCATAATATCAGGCTGTAGGCAAGCTTGCCTGTAGGACCTTTCCTTAATTCATGATTACTGTTGAGAGGGCCCAACCAATTGTGGATGGAGCCATCCACGAACTAGTAGTCCTGGGTTTTATAAAAAAAGATAAAAAGAAAAAAAAATACAGGCTGAGAAATTCAGAGTAGCAAGCCGGTAACCCCTCCATGTCCTCTGCATCAGCTCCTGCCTCCAGATTCCTGTCCTGTTTGAGTTTCTGTCCAGACTTCCTCCAGTGTCAGACTGAAGATCTGGGAGTCTAAGTCAAACAAACCTTTTTCTTCCCCAGTTTGCTTTTGTTCATGGTCATGGTATTTTATCAAAGCAATAGTATTACTAAATAGGATAGTGTACAAATACAGGAATTTTAATAAATTATACTTGGAAGGATTCTTATAAACTATTATGTTGTGATGATAATTATATGTATAGAGTTGTGAAAAATATTCTGGAGAGACAGAATGTGCATTTTAAAGAAGACTTATTTGTAGTATTTTTGGTTATGTGTATTATGTATACATGTATGAAAGTATGTGTGTGTGTATATGTAAGTGCACATCAGTGCATGTGCTGTGGAGGCTAGCACCATCTGATCCTGCTGGAGCTGGAGATGCTGACTAGGGTTTCCCACATACTATAGGAACTGAACATCTGAAGGAACAGTGTGCACTCTTCGGAGCATCTCTAACCTGCACTGTAATTGGCATCAGCGAGAACACAACTCTCAGCTTGTAGTTTTACACGTATGATAGCTAGCAGATTTCTCCATTGATCCGCTTCTCATTTCATTCATTTCAAACCTTATTACTTCTCTGTTAGGAATGGTAAGGTCTGCACATCTTCTTTTTTTCACACCAGTGATGACAATTTAATAGATGTAAAAGATGAATCATAAATCTATTATACCCAAGGTAATATATTCCAGAACAGCTTTCCTCTAACCAGGCTCTGACATGTCTATGGCCACTTCATTGCTCCTTAACTCCAGATGATTTGTGATCAGGAGGAAGTCAGAAAGGAAAGAGGTGGTAGCTTGTCTACTTAATTAACAATCATATACACTGTTTCTAAAAAAAAAAAAAGTGGGAAAAGTAACTTCACTAATGCTTTGCAAGGGGGAAGACTAGAATACTACAGGGTCTGTCTGAGTAAGAGTCAAGTTTCCTTCCATTAATAATAGAAACTTTTCAGGGTCACCTTTCCCTAAGCTTGGAAGTTCCACAATTGACTGTGATTGTGTACATGCACACACATAAATGCACGCATCTAAATGTATGTGTATGTGTATTCTTCCTCTGCCTTTTCTTAAAATCCAATAAGTTCTAAACTGTATTATTTGTATCCTAAGGATTGTTGTATTTCTAAAGCATCAGTTCTTTGTGGAGTACTGAAATCTGAATGCTCTCAGTAATTTAGACAATAAGGAAGTTGAAAGAAAATGTTTTGATCTAAGAAACAAAATGGTGAACTACTCCAAATTGCTGAAGGAAGAAAAGTGAATGTTGCAAAGCCCAGAACAAATATGTATGTATATATCTTATAATTTTAACATGTTTTCACAAGAGGTCTTCTGTAAGTGAAAAGCTGTGTAGAATATTAATCTCCTATGTCAGGAGACATCTTGTTTCATAGTCACATGGGGTGGAACGGATGAAGCAATCAACTTATAATAACTAGAGTCTCAAGAGACTGAAGTATAATTCTAAATGTTTAATGATCAACATATAGCAAAACTCTTCAGCCAGAGCACTTGTGTTAGTATGGCAAGGCTTCTCTTCTAAAGATGAGCGTGAAGGGCAAGAGAGTGTGATTGCGAAGGTGCCTGGTGCATGTGACTGAGAGCATGGAGCACAGTTTCTCAGCTGGTAGATGCTGAACCGTCCTTTGCCATGGCTGTTGCCTAAGGTTTGCTTTGCTGGTTGTAATGATGCCTCTGTCATGTATTTTCCTTCTGATTAACACAGTTGTTCATATATTTTTTATGATGCAGCTACAGCTTAAAACACTGCGCTAGGTTGGAAAGGAGCTTTTAATCCTTTAGATGACACAAAATATACACTTTGTATTTAAAAATTTAAATTATTTTAATCAAATAGTAACACTATGTGGTTGACATGGCAGAAGACTTAGTAAAAAAGAACAGGCCTTCATCTGCATTCTCAAGTCCTTTTACCCACATATCTATAAATAGCAAAATTAGTGGGATTTCTTTTTTTCTGTTTGTTTTTTGAGACAGGGTTTCTCTGTGTTACAGCCCCAGCTGTCCTAGAATTCACTCTGTAGACCAGAAGCTAGCCTTGAACTCACAGAGATCCACCAGCCTCTCCCTTCCAAGTGCTGGGATTACACATGTGTGCCAACACTGCCCAGCAGAATATCTTGATTATAAGCATTCAGATATTTTCTATTATGTTTTTACCAAGATAAAGACTTAACTTGTAGCTGCCCATTGTTACTCAATGTTTCTTGCTTCCTATCTAATGTGCAGTTCTGTTCCTAAAGGCTTTTTATTCAGAACACTAAATAGTATTCTTGCATCTTTTTGTTCTGCAAATTCTGAGTGAGAATTTTACTCCCTGATTTATACAATATAGATACTATTACTTCTTACTTCTTTCTCTATTAAACTCATCTCTCTTCAAGCTCCTATCATTTTTGTATTAATTTTTACACTGCTAAGGTCGAGCAGTTATCTACTATGTAGTATATAGTAGAAAAATTCATTAAACCCTAGACTAACAGTGTTCACATTCTGTTGTGAGTTGACTATTAAGAAGAGATCAGGGGGCTGGAGAGATGGAACAATGCTTAGAATCCCTTGCTGCTTTTGCAGAGAATCTTGATTCAGCTCCCAGAATTCACCTGACAAATTACAACTGTCTGTCACTCCAGTTCCACAGAAATAGTAGTCCTTCTCTGGCCTCTGAGGACACTAGGCATGCAGGCAAAATACATAGATAAGATTAATTTCTTTTTTTTAATTTAATTTTTTTGTTTTATTTTATTTATTTATTTATTTATTTATTTATTTATTTATTGATGATTTCTGCCTCCTCCCCGCCTCCCCGCCGCCGCCTCCCATTTCCCTCCCCCCTCCCCCGATCAAGTCCTCCTCCCTCATCAGCCCAAAGAGCAATCAGGGTTCCCTGCCCTGTGGGAAGTCCAAGGACCACCCACCTCCATCCAGGTCTAGTAAGGTGAGCATCCAAACTGCCCAGGCTTCCACAAAGCCAGTACGTGCAGTGGAAGAATGGATGAAGAAAATATGGAATATATACATATTAGAGTAGTACTCAGCAGTAAAAAACAATGATTTCTTTTTTAAGATTAAAAGATAGACAAAAATAAAGTTTTGTGCCCAGAGAACATGACCTTTCAAAACCTGTATGTCTCTTTGTTCACAAACTCCCGAAAAGATTCCTCAAAATGTTCAATTTGAGATGTACTTAAGTACTATTTTGCATATGCATTGCATCCTTCAGCTCTGAGCACAAATGCAAAAGCCTGCTAGGTCAAGATGACCCATGCTACTGTGATTTTGGTCACAGTGTGATGTTATTATAGTTGAACACGCATCTTCACTGACTTCAGCATAGATATAAATGATTTCATGCCAAAATGAAACTAGAGAAAAACATGATTTGGGTAATGTTTATCCTTTAACTGTGCAAATTGTGAAATCTAACAAAAAAGTCACTATGGTTTTGTAATTACACTTCCCTGAGTGCTGTCTTTTCCCCTTTCAGTTCAATGCTTTGTCTTCTTGCTGCCTCCCATCTTCCATGTTGTTTGTTCTTACCA